TGCCCCCAGCTTTCTCTTCCGCTGCCCCTCTCAGCCTGCCCCACTCTCACCCCTTCTATTGCAGCCTGGCGGGCGCTCCGCCCCCGCCTGTCGCTCGCTGATTTCATTTTGGTACCACACAGTTGGCGCGCATTTCTTTCCTGTTGCTGCATCCTCTCTATATCACGCCTTGTAACTGACAATGGAAGGTGTGAGGGTTCATGTCTGATGCGCAACAGCGCCACGTCAGCTCCATGTGGAAAGCAGCGTGGGGCTGGCTGGAAGCCAAGGTTCGATGCACTGTGTGCCCACAGGCATTCGTGACACTCGTGACCCCCTCCTGCTCTGCTGGACGGCTCAGGCATGCTGTCCAAGGTTCCCCCCCCGCTGCTGGGCTCCCCTGCTGGCCGCGCCGTAGCCGCCGCTGCAGCCCTGCCCGCCGCCCAGCTGCTGAGACAACTGCGCGCGCGAGGGTTCGCGGCACAGGGCGACAAGGTGGGGGCCCGGTTGTGTGGTGCGGCCCTGGAGCGTCGCCGCCGCCGTGCTGCCTGGAGCGCCCGCCTGCCCGGCTCCTCGCCGCCTCCTGCCAGTCTCCGACAGCCGGGCAGCGGCATGCTTGTCCCGCCTCCTGTAGGGCACCGTGCACCCCCTCAGCGCCCCCTACGACTCCCAGAAGGAGGCCCAGAAGCCTCTGGAGGGGGAGGTGCAGCGGTCAAGGGGTGCTGCACTCCCTGTCGCCAGGATTCTGCTTGCTGATCCGCCCCGCGGCAGCAGCCAGGGCCATTGCCGCCGCTGCTGCTCCCTCCCGCTGGGTGTCTGCTTGCGGTGCGCACCCTCCTGACTTCCAGGCGCCCATGCCTCCGCTCGGCCGTCCTGCGCAGGACGGCCCCGGTTCAAGCACTTATGCCCGCTTCAAAGATGTGGCCAGCCAGAGCGGCAACCCGGTGAAGTGAGCGGACGGCCTGCTGCTGGGGAGGCCTCTCCAATCTGGGAGGCAATCTGGGAGGCTGGATGATCCGCGAGGCGGCCCTGATCCCATCCAGGCAGCAGTGCTGGCGCACCTTAGTGAGCCACGCCCCCCCCATGCGCCGCACGCCGTGCAGGGAGTGGATACAGGGCAGCAAGGAGCACGCCTCTGCCTACGGCCAGTCTGCGGAGCAGGTGAGCGGCAGGGCGGGGCAGGGCGGGGCACGGCAGGGCTGTGGCAGGGCAGGCACAGCTTGTTGCGACATACAGTCAGACCGTGACTGCCGACACAGCTGTACCGCCATACCACACGTACCTGCCGGTACCGCAGGTGTACGAAGCCGTCAAGCGCTCCACCCAGGACGCCACCACCGACGCCAAGGAGGCCGCCAGGAGCGCGATGCACAAGGCGGGCGCCGGCGGCGACATCATGGGCGGCATGGCGGCGGCCGCCTCGCAGGCCGCCGGCGCCGTGGGCTCCAAGCTATCGGAGGCCAGCCAGAAGTGAGGGCGGCTGGCGCTGCCGCGGCTGGCGCTGCCCGTGACACTGAGCTGCACAGCAAGATCGTCCACAGTGCCCTCAGCTGAACGCATGCTGGCAGGCTGGCAGGTGCCACGCAGCGCAGACCGCGACCTTCCGGTGCGCCGCACGACTCAGCACCCACGCCTGCCTTCCCTTCTCTGGGTTGTGCGCGCAGGGCGGCCGCTGCGGTGCAGGAGAGCGTGGGGGACGATCGCAGCCTGCCCAGCGCGCGCGCCGAGTTTGAGAAGAGCCGCAGCGAGGGGCAGAAGGCGGAGACCAACAAGGACAGGAAGAGCCAGGTGGGGCATGGGGCAGGGCCGAGGGCGGGACTACTCAGCAGCCGCAGAAGCCGACGATGAGCTCCTGAGCGGGTGCCTGCCTGCCATCAGCATCGCCACCTGCTGCATCCCATGACCCCTGCCTCGCCCCTGTGCACCCTGTCCTCCCACGCCCCTCACATTCCCGCTCCAGCTGACGGACGAGGCTGTGGGGGACAACCCCGCGGAGCAGCGGACCCGCGACGAGCACGAGATCCTCCCCAATGAGGTGAGCGGCCTGGCGTGGCCTGCGCCGGCTGCTGCCAGCTGCGGTTCATCCTCCCGGCTGCTGCAATTTTATCTTTTCCAATTTGGTCGAATTTGGAATCAACTGAATGGCCAGGCACCGCTGGTGGAAGCTTCCTGAACGCGGGCCCGCCAGCTGCTGAGTTTTTTGTGCCTCTGCTGCTGCTGCAGTTCTACACCAAGCACTGAGCGGCAGGAAAGGCTGGCGAGGGGATGGCACGGCTGAGGCGCTGCTGCAAGCCGGCGCGGCTGCCACGTCACTGTGCCCCCGTTCCGTTGATGTGTGGTGCTGCCTGCCAAGGAGCTTCAGGGGCTCTGTTGCCAGCAAATCAAGTCTGCTTGTGTGTTGCAACATGAAATGCTCCCCAGAGAAAGGGAGGGATGGCTTCACGGCAACCCAGGAATGGAGCATTGGTGCCATGCCGGGCTGTGTCCTGCGGATGCTACTGCTGCTGCTGCCCCCGCCGCCGCCGCCGCCTGTCCATCACGATTTCCAGCTGACCCAGCGGCATCACCCCCGCTGCTGCCGCCTGCCCCGCGGCTGCTGCTGCGTCGCCCAGATCTGACAACACCTGCTGGCCCTGCCCCCAGAACCCGCTGCGCTTCACCACCACAACCAGGTCGCCTTCGCAGGCCACCTGCAAGGCAAGGCGTGGCGGGAGGCGCGCAGGCACGGGCAGGGGAGCAGAGGGTCGGCACGGGGGAGGGCAGGGAGGCAGGTGGTGCCAGCCGCCGGGCGGTGGGGGGAGTGCCAGCCGTGCATGCCGCCACTCCTTACGTCCCACCCAGCAGCAGCAGCAGCAGCCGCAGCAGCGTGACGCTATCAGGCCCACCTCACCTGGCAGGCCAGCCGCAGCTGCTGGTTCCCTGGCGGCGCATGGGGCGGGAAGTTGAGGCGCAGCTGCTCCTGCGTGGTCCACTGCGGCGGCTCCACCTGCCCTCGCACCTCCACAGCGCACGTGCCGCACGTGCCCAGCCCCCGACAGTTGATGAGAGTTGCGCGGCCGTTGTGCGGCGTCACCCCCGCCTCCAGCAGCGCCGTCCTCAGGGTGGATCCACGCTGGGCCTGCAGCTGCCTGCCGCGAAACTCGACCTGCACCAGCGCTGCCTCGCCGCCGCTGGCACCGCCGCCGCCGCCGCTGGGCTCGGCGCCATGGCGCTCGTCGCCTGCTGCTCGAGTGCTGGGTGGCCGTCTGTGCAGCGTCGTGGAAGTCGACATTCGCGCCGAGCCCCCTTGGCTTGTCACAACTGACCAGGTGCAGCGCGCCAGCATGTTTGCTTGCCTCTGCTATGTTAGACGCGGATGAAGAACTCCAATTAGACCCTGTTCTCTGGCTTTCTGCACGAATTTGCGCCGCGCTGAGTCCCTGCTGTGCGCGCTGCGGGCGGCTCTGGCGCAAGGGGCGGCCGCCAAGTGTGAAGCCATGATCTGTGTGCACAAACCAATGGGACAACCATTCAAAACGCCATGCACCAAACACAAGTCAATGGGCGATGAACAAAATGGTCCTGGGGCGCGAGCCCTGGTTGGCGCCGACGCCAGTCCCTGCTGAGACGACTTTGCCACCCCCTTAGGCGGGGGCGGCAAAGATGTCGCTGACGTGCACCGGCATCTCCTCAATCGGCTTCTCCGAAAACTCCTCCACCTGCGCCAGCAGCAGCCGTGCAGGGTGTCAGGCGCGTGTGCGCCAGCAGGGCAGCGGGGCAAAGCGCCGGATCGCGGCGGCATCCCAGCTACAGCTCAGCTCAGCCACCCAGGCAGCCACCCAGCCGCTCCACCTGGCGGAACTCGTCCAGCTGCCCCGCACACGCAAAGGTGACGGCCAGGCGCTGGCCGCCCGCGCTGCTGCGGCTGCCCAGCACGTGGCTGATGCGGCGCAGGTACACATCCTGGCAGGAGGAGCGGTACAGCGGCAGGACCGGGTCTGCTTGATGCTTGGGGAAGCGGGGTTGGAGGGGCGGGCAGCCACAGGCGGGCAGGCACGTGGCAAGCACAGATTTCGGCGGCGGCAGCAGGAGGTGCAGAGGCATGGGCCACCAGCGAGTGTGAGGGTGCTGCGAGGGGAGTGGCTGCCAGCCACCTACCAACCGAAACACCAGCCCACCTTTCGGGTGGGAAGGTCATAAGAGATGAGCAGGGTGGGGCTCAGCGGCAGCAGTTCCTTTGGCAGCACCCGCAGGCAGGCATCCGTGGCGGCCAGCACCTGCTAGGGCAACAAAGCGACGCATGCCGACTGGATTCCTTACGTGCCCCAGGTGCCATGCACGCCACAGGCTAAGCTTGCCCCGGTTCCATTGAACCCACCGCGACAAAGGGTTTGGCGGCGGCCACCCTCCGCGCAGCCTCCCGCGGCGAAAGCTCCCCCTCCTCGCCGTCCGCCAGTGGCCGCCGCCGACGCCCCTGCTGCTCGCCGCCGTCGCCGCCGCCCGCTGCCTGCTGCTGCTGGTGCGGCTGTGGTAGCGGTGCCTGCCCGTCCGCCGGCTGCTGCGCATGCTGCTGCTGCTGGTGCCGCGGGTGCGGCTGGCAGGCTGCACGGTAGTGCCTCACTGTCGCCTCCACCTCTCGCTCGCTCAGCTCTGCATGCTGCAGGCAGCCAGTTGGCTGGCAGTACACAGTCGGCAACCGAGCCCTGTGCCGTCGCTCCAACCATCACACAGCGATACACCGGCCCACAGCACAGCGGCGGCGGGGTGGGCGGTGGAGGCTCACCAGGACCCACACACGGCAGTGTGGCACGCTCGCCACCGCCGCCACCACTGCATCTAAGCTGTCCCTTGAGCTGCACGGGCACAGGGCGCATGAGCGTATGGTGGTGCCAGGGCCAGCGACGAAGCGATCCATGCAGGCGAGCTGGGCGTGCTGTAAAGCCACTCACCCGCAGCAGGCGACGAGCGCGAGCGGCGCGGCGGCCTCGAAGGCTCGCAGCAAGTCCAGCAGGGTGGCCTGCAGGTCAGGGCAGGGGCAGGCGCCAGGCGGGGGTCGGCAGGTTGCGTCGAGGTGGCGGCGGCGGCAGGCGGGCAGGTGTGCCCAGCCCGCTCCCACCGATGCGGCCGCCCCTCCAACGCACCAGCTTGTTCTCCGCCGAGCTCACGGCCACATAGAACTGGCGCAGGGCGTGGCCCTTGCTATTATCCATTCCTGTGAGTGTGATCGCCAAGTGATCTGCCGAAGTGCGTGGGCCTTAGATCACCCCAATCAGCGATCAATGCCAGGGCGACGAGTGCAGAGGCTTTGGGATTCCCGTTCTGCCAGCCTGGCCCCCTTCTTTCGTGCCCTTCTTTCCGGCGCGCCTCATCCTCTGGCTCTCCCGCCTCATACAGCGTGTATCCAGTCCAGTCTCGCCACCCCGGCAACCCCAGCTCTCCCCCTGTCTACCACCCCACTCAGCGCGGCACTTCCCCCGTCTATGAACACCAATTTGAAGAGTGCACTCACCGTTGCAGAACTTTGTGGACTGGTGGCGGCGTTCGCCTATCCTGTAGTCATTTTGAGTGTTGCTGCCGCCGCTGCCGCCACCGCTACCGCCGCCGCCTGTACAACACCAGACACACCACGCCTCCACCCCACCCGCCAGGCTAAGAGCCAGCCACCCCCTGGCCCCTGCGCCAGCATCCCACCCGCCCCCGCCCTCCTTTCTTCCTTGCTGCAGCTCCCCCTGCAGGACAGGTCAACTCGTGAGGCGCCCGCCGGCGGGTTCAGCAAGCCATCCATGTGGGGCAGCGTGGATGCTGCCGCCAAGGCCAAGAACCAGCAGCAGTGACAGCTGAGAAGGCAGGACCAACAGCAAGCACCTGCATACGAGCAGCAGCCTGCAAATAGGCAGCAGCTGCCTGTGCCGCGGCAGTAGAATTTAGCAAGTACAGGCCGCCCCCCAAGGAGCAGCACCCACCTTCCTAGGCATGCTGGCTGTGCTCGGCCGATCGGCCCGTCGGCGCGCCGCAGACCAGCTGGCAGGCGCCGCCTTGGCGGAGCTCGGCTGGAGCGGTGGCGCGGCGAGGCAGGCGGTGCGGGCCTGGCAGCTGCAGCCCAGCCGCTTTGTCGTGGCGGGCGCGCCAGGGGACGACCTGGCTGGTGTGCTGGCCAAGGCCCGGCGCCTGGCAGGGCCAGTGGGAGTGTTGGCGGGTGAGCAACGGGTCACTGTTGCTGCGGTGCAGCCATCGAGGCATGCCTGGCTGGTGTGGCGCACTGCGCACCTCAGCTGCTGCCGCCGCTTGCCCAGCTGGGCCTGCTGCCTGCCTGCACGCTGCACGGCACCGTACTTCAAGGTATGCTGGCCCTCTTGCAGGCGTGTTTGGATCGATATGCGGGGTGGGGGGAGGCGTGATCATCGTGCCCCTCATTGTGTCCGCCTGCAAGACCATCCCGCAGCGGTGGGCCCCTGCTGCTTCCAACATGCGTGCCGCCTCTCCCACGCCGCTCTCTGAGCCAGCTGTGCGTCGCGACGCCGGCCATGCCCCCGCCCGGTACCCTTCCCATCAATCCTTGCGCCCGCCCTTGCGCCGTTGGTGCAGTGTGGTGTCTGGCACTTCGCTGGCCGCAGTGCTGAGCACCGCGCTGGTGTCTGCCCACACCTACAGCAGCAGCGGGTGCGTGGACCTGGCCGCCGCGGCCCTGGTCAGCCCCGCCGCCATGCTGACGGCGCCGCTGGGGGCCCGCCTCACCGCCCGCCTCAACTGCACCGCGCTGCGCCGCATCCTGGGTTTCTTCCTGCTGGCGGCCGCCCCCATGGTGCCCCTCAAGGCGAGCCGGGCTGCCGGGGACGGTGCCCCTGCTGCCCCTCGTCTGCTTGTGATGCTTGGGTTGCACGACTGGCGCCAGTGAGCCGCACAGTCGGCCCCGCCTGGCTGTGGCACTCCTGATGGCCCCTGTGTTGAGGCACTGGCCAGGCGTCCCCGGATCTGCCTGCAGGCCTACCTGCTAACTTTCCACCCGGACCTGGAAGAATCGTGTGAGGCAGCAGAAGCCTCCAGCGGCGGCGGCGGCGGCGGCGGCGGCGACGGCGGCACTCCCGCAGCCCCCTCAGCAGCCGCCTCTGCAGCCGAGCCGGCCGGCACATTTGCGGGCCTGACCTTCCCTCCCCCCGCCACGGCTGCGCTGCTGACGGCGACGGGGGCGGTGGCGGGGCTGGCTTCGGGGCTGCTGGGCGTGGGAGGCGGCGTGATTGTCACGCCGCTCCTGGCCCTGCTCACGCCCTTCTCCCAGGCAACAGTGCTGGGCACCTCGCTGCTGTCCATGATCCCTCCCGCCAGCGCCGCGCTGGTGCAGCACAGCAGGTGCGACCTGGGTGAGGGGGTGTGGTTCCAGGCGGGGACGCGAGGCAGGCAAGCTGCGTGCTTGCATTGCTGCAAGCACTGCTCCCCCCAGCAGCGGTCGCAACAAACACTCCTCTCGCCCGTGCTGCATTGAAGGCTGGGAAACGTGGACTGGCGCATGGCGGCGGCTCTGGCGACAGGCACAGCGCTGGGCAGCGTGGGCGGCAGTAACCTGGCGGTACAGGCGCCGCCTGGCTACCTGGAAGCTGCCTTCTGCCTGGGCATGCTGTTCCTGGGGCGCAAGACGCTGCAGACAGCCAAGTAGCTGCCGCAGCAGGCAGGCAAGCAGGCAGGCAGGCGGCTGGCCAGCCGTGTGGCTGCCAAGTTTTGCTGCAATTATTGTGTTTGCATCGACTGCAACTATCTGTCGGTTCTGGTGGCTTACTGCTCATGACCCACGTAACTTGCACGCTGCATGAATGCAACTCATTGAATCGAACTCATCAAGGCATTTTTTCTTCCTGTAATGTCGCTGCAATGCCAACCACATCTCTACACTCTGCTCAGGTCACGACTCGTCTCCTGACAGTGATGCTTACTCGGTCATGCCACCGCTGCCGCTGCGGCCGCCGCCCAGCCCGCACATGCTCAGCCACCAGCGCCTGCGGCGGCTCTTGCCACCTCGCCCCGGCCGCTGCCTGCCCTGCTGCTCATCCGCAGGCTCCAGCCGCTCTGCCTGCACAGGCTGTGGCCGAACCTCTGCAAGCAGTGGGCCGGGGGGTGGTGTTGGGGCAGACGACAGGCGCCACAAGGTGCCGGCACCATGCATCATCCGTGAGCCTCTGAACCACGCCGGCGCTTCGCCAGCTGGCCGAAGCAGGCTCACTCGGAAGGAAGCTCTTGACCAGCTGGGGAGGCAGGCTGCGGTCGCGACGCAGCGGCTGCATGCCGCGCTGGTGGTAGAAAGCGCGCCAGGGGGCGCAGGTGGCCCACTCCGCCTGCGCCGGCACAATTGATTGCTTTCATTTGCTTTCATGAGCACAGCGCAACATCACCGCAGGCAGTGCAGGGCGCAAGCTACCCATTTGCGGGCCAAGTGCGGCTGGCGGGCAGCGGGCGGCGGGTGCCCGCTCACCTCCCCCTCCTCCTCCGACTCATCCGACGACTGCTCGGCAGAACCGCGGTAGCCAGCCGAGCCCGTCTCAGCCCTGGCAGAGCCAGCGGCAGAGCCAGCGGCAGAGCCAGCGGCACTGCTGCCTCTCGCCGCCTCCTCCTCTGCCAGCGCCCTGCCATCCGGGCCCAGCCGCTCCGCCCACACCCGCCGCCGGGCGGCAGGCAGCGCGGCCTCCGCGGTGGGAGCGGCTGCTGCTCCTCCGATTGCTTCAGCAGGCAGCTCCGGGATCCCAGAGCGGGCCAGGGAGGGCGAGGGGGTGAGGTATACGGTGGCGGCAGTGGTCTGGCGGGAGGGCCGCTCCAAAGCATCCCAATACTCGCTCTCCTGCTGCTCTGGCTGCTGCCCTGGCTCTGTGGCCCCAGCACTGCCGCCGCCTGGCTCCTCCCCGCCCACCACAGCCAGCGCGGCGCCCTCGGCGGCGGCAGCGGCAAACGCGGAGGGGAGCGGGGCGGGGATGAAGGCGGCAGCTAGGGCTGCTGCATCGGGCCTGTGCTGCGTCGCGCCGAGCTGCAGGCCTGCCTCTGCCCTCAGCTCCACGCTGGCCGCGGCGCGGCAAGGGTGCTTGGCAGACCGGCGCTGCTTCCGCCCGTGCTGCAGGCAGGGAATTGCAGGGGCAGGTGGCACAGTGCAGCGCAGTGCTCGGGGAGCCCACCAGTCACTGTCACGCCGCCGCCCGGCGGCTTGCCTGCTGGATGGCAGCCACATGCTCCTCCATCCAGGCCACACCCTCCACCTTGGGCCGCCCAGCCAGCAGCCGCTCCCGGCCGTGCGGCGTCTGCAGCAGCTCCTCTCTGACTTGCACCCACCTGCGGCAGCCAGCCAGCAGCATCACTGCTCTGTCAGCGCTGGCAGGTGGAGATTGGGGTCAGCGGCAGTCGTGCCACCGCCAGACACCATCTGCTCGGAGGCAGCGCCGCTGCACCTACTTCTCAATCAGCGCAGGCATCTCGTTGAAGCTCTGCTGCAGGCTCTTCCTTGCCAGCTTCTTGGCCACGCCGCCCAGCCCAAACATGCCCTTAAACCTATGGCAGGTGAGGAAGGGGCGGGCGGCAGAGGGCATGTCACAGGCATGGAGGGCAGGCAGGGTGGCAGCAGGGTGGCGCCACAGTCAGGCACTGGTCACGGCTGCCCCTGCTCTGTCCCGGAGCGAGCGCCGGAACATTCCTGATGCCCATGCCGCCCCAGCTCACTCACTCTATGGTCTGCTCCAGAACGTGGCGGCAGCGCTCGGGGCCCAGCGGCTCGATCAGCGTCCGCGACTCAAAGTGGCCCTGCGGTGTCGGGTGGAAAGCAGGGACCAGCAAGCTCCTCCAGCCAGAGGCTTGGCAGCGGGGGCTAGCGGCACGTGGGGCACCGCAGCACGGCGGTGCGCTGCGCAGTCACACAATACGATACAGCAGCGACTGCACAGCTCAGCCCGGCAGAACACAGACCAACCCAGCGTTGCAGCACACGGGAGCGCACCACGCCACCCGGCACAGCTCTCACCTTCTCCCCCAGGAAGGGCGCCTCGCTGCGGATGGCTAGCTCATATGGCGGCTGCGCCAGCCTGGCGGGGTCGTACGACACCACATCAAAGTACTCCAGCTTCTCGGGGATGCTCCTGGCCAGGGAGCCGGGGATCTGCGGGGTCAAGCGTGTGGGAAAAGGCAGCAGCAGCAGCAGGGGAGCGGAGGGAGGTGGGGCGCTGGGCATGAGCGGTGCAGCGGTGACGCCCGCGGCGACTTGTCGCTGTCTGCCACCAGGTGCAAGCGGGTGGCCATCCCAGCTGATGCCGGCACACACCAGCTTCTATGCGCTACGCGTGTGGAGCCCCGCTGGCCGTCTGCTGCGCCAGGTGCTGCCCTCAGCCCTCTCATAGTGCCCTGCTCTCACCCATGCGGAGACGTCAGGCTTGCTGTTGATTTTGATCCGCGTCTGGGAACCTTCCCTCCAGCAGTCTATTATCTCATACTCCAGCAGGCGCATCTCCTGTGGGAGTGAATAGGCAGGATGCAGGGCTTCCGGTGCACAGAGAATTGCCCCGCTGTCGAGCGGTAGACGCTCGGCGGCGGCGCGCGCCGACCGCCGCCGCCAACCACCTCGTTGTCAGCACAGGTTGGATGGGCAGGCGCCCAGCAGGCCCTGCCACACGGCGGCTGCCTGGGTCTCACCTCAGCAATGAACGTGCGGAACGCGGCCCCATCACGCTCTAGCAGATAGGTTTCTGCGGGCAGAGGGAGGTCGGCCTGCACTGTGATCTTCATGCTGGAGCAGCTCTTGGAGAGGGGGAGGGGCAAAGAGCGCCGCCGCAGCAGCTGGAGCTCCCCCTGCGCCACTAGTCAGCAGCTGCAACCTGGATGCAGCTGTCCCAGGGTTGTGCTAGGAGCGCTGCCAGCTTTACTTACTTTGGGTTCCCAAAGTGCAGGATCACCCAGGGATGGCAAGATTACAAGGAGAGAGTGCAGAAAGGCAGGTCACGGGTTGGAGTAAGGGGGAGATCAGCAGGCACCGGCCGCCGCCGCGACAGGCTGAGACACGCTTGTTGCTGCCTGGACTGCCCAGCCCTGGCGCCGGTCAGCTACCTCACGCACGAATTAGTGAGGCATTGCACACGTACACAGACAAGTGCGGTCGGCGAAGGCTGTTTTGAGGGACGGTGGCGACCGCTGCAGGTGGCATGTGCGGCGCCGACGCCCCAGCAGTCACTAGCTGATCTCGTCGTAGCAGCCCACGATGCAGCCGTATTCTGAGCAGCAGGAGGCTATCGCGGGGTCTGTTGTCGTTGTCTCACACAGGTAGTTGAGGTTTGCGTAGCAGTTGCTGGCGCCATCCAGCATTGTGCAAGTGCCCGAGGGGCAGCCGTTTTGTTCACGGCATGGCTCGCAGTAACTGCAAGGGATGCGGCCCGATTGCGGTGGAGAGGGTGGGGCTTCAGCGGCCAGCAGGGGAGAGGGCCCGGTGGATCCAGCTGCCCCATCCTCCCGCTGATTCGGCACCGCAAGCAGCACACACGCAAGCAGCACCGCCGCCATGCACCAGCAACCCTGGGCCCTGGCGCGGCGACTCACGCGCACGAGGAGTCGTAGCACAGCGCCATGCTTGGCAGCGAGCCACACACAGGGCCCCAGGCCACCTGGCAAAGGTTGTTGGGGGTGTTGCTGCCTTGATAGCAGTTGGGGACATACTGCGGCAGGCACCCGGGGGGGGGGGGAGGAGGCGTGATGTGGCGGCAGTCGAGGGCTGGTTGGCATGCCGCCATGGGCGGACGGCGTGCAGGCAAAATGTTGTTCGTGCATGGGGAGGGGTGAGGCACTCACGTTGCTGCAGTCGTCGATGAAAAGCGACACGCCTTGGAACCGCTGCAGGAGCACTCGACCAACACGCCAGCTGGTGAGCCACGCCCAGGCGTGAGCAGGGGCGCGGCACAGCAAATGCACTCGCCCAGCGGCAGCCCAGCCTGCCCGGGTACGACACCGCGGCGCCCATCAGCCAGCCACTCACCCCGTCGTCTGGCACGTCGCCGGGCGCCAGCACCGTCAGGTTCTCCAGCCCCGCCACCTTGTGCAGCAGCCTGCAGCGGCAGCGGCAGCGGCAGGCCCCGCACGGTCTCTTCCTGGCCTGTGCATCTTTGGCTGCTGCGAGCAGTGGTGTGATGAGTGGGCATGTCGCACACGCCCAGCGGCCGCCCCTCCTCGCCCCCACCTGAACCGAGAGAAGTCGCCCAGCAGCGTCACGTCCTTGAAGGTCACGTTGCCAGAGGCTTCATCCAGCTCTGGGGTGGCCAGGGTGAGGATGCCCACCACGCGCCCGTCATCCCTGCCAGCCGGCGGCAGCGCACAAGGCGGTGGGTGCAGCAGCGCGGCGGCCAGCGCACAAGCGAGACCATGGCACATTGGGCGGGGCTCCCGCACAGCAGCGCAGCTCACGTCTCGGCGGTCAGCGCGGCGTTGGGCGGGTTGCTCTTTTTCATGGGGAAGCTGGACAGGAACTTGGCCAGAGGCACCGTGCTCGTCTCGCGGCTGAGAAAGGGAGGATGCAAAGAGGTGGGTGGGTGTGGGGGGCAGGAAGCGTTCAACGCCAATTTGGCCGGCAGGCAGGAGGGCACGCAGCCATGCCCGCCGGGCTTCCCTGCCTGCTGCACTGCCTCCATGCAAGGCAGCACCCTGCCGCCATGGAAGCTTAAGCTGCCAGCTGGCAGACGGGCCGCCGCAGGCGGCACTCACTCCGGGCGGTCGCGGAAGACAAGACCAGCGGCGAGGTGCCATCCAGGGTGAGCGTGAAGTCGTTGTCGCCCCCGCCCTCCTTGGGTGCCAGCTCCGCCCCGGTGGCCAGCTGAACAAACATGGTGTAGGGATCAGAGTCGGGGTCGTACTCGCCGGGCGGCAGCGCGGTGCTGCCGCCGTCGGCCAGGCGCCGGTGCCTGGTGGCCGCTGCGCCCTGGGCGCTGAGCAGCAGCGCCGCCGCCATGAGGGTCAGCATCGCGGCTGGAGTGCACTGCGTCATTCTGGCTGCTGCGGACACAGGGCGGGCAGGGGTTGGGCGGCAGTGATTTGGTTGTGTGGCACCGAGGAGGGCGGCGAGGCGGCAGCTGCGAGGCGGCGGCGCGCAAGCCCGGTGCCGCTGGTGGCCGCCGCTGCTGCTGCGGTGTTGCCGGTGTCCTACGCAGCATTCAGCCCACCGGCAGTCCGGCCCGGGCGGCATCTCACATGCCACAACGGGGTACTGTCAGGCGGCGAGGTGCAGCGCTCCCGGCCTCGTCAATGGCGTCAGTGAAGCTTTAATGCGCCTCCGGCAGACGCAACCGCAGTCTGCGACCCGCAGCTTAGGACGTGCACTTGGGGGTCTGATGTGACGGGGACCTCGCGGAAGAGCGCACTGGCTGCGTGAACACCAGAGTGAATTCTGCTGGGTGTGATGAGCACCACGCCGGGAGGTACGGAGCGAATCCAGGCGCTTATAAGCCGCCGCTGACTCAGCGTCGGACGCCGCCGCTGCTGTTTCGCCTGCATCTCCCTGCATCATGATCCGCCGCATGCTCAATGTAGGGAATCAATTGCGGCAATAAAGTACAATAATCAAAAATGAGCTGGCACACAAATCGTAGTGCATTTTGAAAGTGGCACAGAATTGCAGGCCGGGCGTGCCGCGGCGGACAAAGGGCGTTGCGAAAACTTCAGGTGGGACCAATCAAAGGATAAGGTGCACAGACGGCATTATTGATTATCATGGGGTTGCTTTGGTTGAAAGAGGACAAGTGCTGCACCATAATGCATCCAACGGTGGCAGGCATTGCTGCTGCCGCCACTGTGGGCAGAGCAGGGCAGGGCAGCGGTGTGCGGCAGGGTTGCATGACCATTTAGCAGTAGTACTCACGGGAGGCGAGGACCTGGTAGGACTCAGAGTCGCCCCAGAACAGAAAGTCCCATCCTGCAGCACCGGGACCGTCCAGGCGCTTGTTCAGCCCTGCAAAAGAGCTGCAAGGCCTGCAACTGCTGGTCCCCAAGCCACAACAAGCAAGCAAGCATGGCAAGTATGCTTGCGCATGCGCTGCTCAGCTCACCTGCCATGGCCGTCGGTACGCCATCCCCAGACTGCCAGTTGCAAAAGTCCTGGCACCCCCACCAGGTGTTGTACTGCCCCAGTGTGTTGCACAGCGGGTTATCCGCCGCATTGAGGTACTGCATCCGCCCATCCAGCTGCGCCCACAGGCCAGCGACGCTCCAGCCCAGGCTGACGGTCCCCCCGACTGAGATCTGGCCTCGCACAGGTGACCACGTCCCATCCTTGTCCTCACAAAAAGCGCCGTCGAATCCAAACCAGCTCAGCAGCTGGTTCAGACCAAACACGCTGAGGCAGACCCCTGCAGGTAGGCAGGCAGCAAGGCAGGCGGTTGATCATCCACTGCAGGCCCCTGCAGCAGCAAGGCAGCGGGGTGCAGGCAGACGCATGGAGGCAGGCAACCCCAGCAACCACCTCCACCAGCTGGAGACTCTCCGTCAGGCATGCGGCGGCAGCAGCAGCTCACCAACTCTGCCTGAGATGGACGCATCCACAATGTGGGAGGAGAGTGAGATGTCAGCAAGGTCGGAGAGGGCCCATTCATAGCATTCGCTAGAGTCGCACACTTGCCCGGTTGAACAGAGCTGGAGACATCAACCGCGTAGGCACAACCCTGCATGGCACGGCGGGAAATGTAATTGGCAGCTGTCTATACACACGCGCTGCCGTCAGCAGGCGGTACTCGGCAGCAAGCGAGGCATGATGCACGGCGTCACAGCCAGGACATCCCAAACTGCCAGCTGGTGCCTACCTGGATTGAGCCGTGGATGGAGCCCACCCCCCAGATGCCGGCCTCGCACGAGGCTTGGATGCAGCCGCCGCTGGCTGGGTCGAACATGAACAGGGAGTCCACGCCATCGCAGGACATGTACTGGTGCAGGTGCCTGCGCCGGCCGGCGCCAGCGCCGGCGCCAGCGCCGGTGCTGACGCTGGCGTTGGCTGCCAGCTCGCGGCGCAGCTGTGCCAGCGCAGCACTCAGGAGGGGCATCTGAGTGGCCCACACCTCGGACAGAGTCACGTGGAGCAGGGCGTCGCAGTGGGGCCAGGGCAGCACGCCGTCGCACAGGCAAGACACAACCTGCAGAGGGCAGCAGTGGCCGCAGCTGAGCAGGCATGCTTCCCTCCGCCTCAGCCTGCCAGCTGGCTTCACTCGAGTGCAGGAAGCCCCATGATGCAGAGAAATGGCATTGAGCTGGCCGGCCCATCTGGTGTGCCGCCACTGGCGCCGCCAAATCCCCAAAATCACCGCCGCTTCGCGCCGCACCTGGGCAGTCAGGTTGCGCTTCGTCACCTCCTCGCACCTCGCCGACCGGTTGTAGGGTGGGCTGTCCAGCATGTGAGCCAGGTCCTCGTCTCCAGCGGCGGCGGCCGCCAGCAGCGCCTGTGCCGTGGCCTTCTGGGCGAAGAAGGCGGCCAGGCCGTCGATTGAGTCGGGGGAGGGCAGCTCGCCACCGGTCAGCGCCGCCTCCACAGGCGTGGCGTTGTGGCCTGATGATGATGTATTGGGGACCTGGAGGACATAATGGGTCGCCCCTGCAAGGCGACCATAAGCTCACGGGCCTCCAGCGACTTGGCCTCGTCGCCAGCCGCCACGGCAGCCAGCAGGCTGCCGGCGCCGCGTGCAGCGGCGGCGGGGTCGGCGGCGGTGATGGTCCGCTTGTAGCCGGCCGCCGCCTCCATCCCTGCAGCAAGTCCGCATTGGCAGGTGGTGTGGGGCACAGGGGACCCATTGGGAGACGCCAAAGGGCAGATGGCCATGGGCGGTGTCGTAAGGCATGATGCGGGCACAGGATGATGCCGGGGATGCTCCAATCCTCTCTCCCCTCCCGGACATGACGTTGCTTGCCTGTGATGAAGGAAAATGCCATGGCGAGCAGCAGGCAGGTGGCCCTGCGGGACGGGGCCATGGATACTCGGTTCAGGGGCTGGCAAAAAAGCTGTTTGGGATGGCTGGGCTATGTGTTTCCATGCACAGAAGGTTTGTGAATAGAGGGGGGCGGCTTGGGCTGTTTTCAGGGACTGGCAACGCGGCTCACAAACGTGTGGGGGCAGGTGCCCTGCCACTTCAAGCGTGTATCTGCATGTTTTTGGTGGCCAATAATCGTCACATGAACGAATGTCTGAGGGATGATGCAGACACAGGCTCTAGTGGTTTCCTGGCAGCAGGGGGTAGCTGAAGTGACCGTGGCCAGCTGCACGCGCGCTTGCCGCACGGCAGCGGCAGCGGCAAGCGATGGCAGTGGCCGCTCGCCCACTGGGCCGGCCCCTTCAAGCAAGCTGCTCTGGCCAGCTGGCTCTGCAGCGCGGAAGATCAACACTTCTGCAAGGATGGATTGAAGCCGCCTGCTCGTCTCTCCCGCCGCCACTCAAATGCCACCCTCTGCCAAGTCATGGGGACGTGTTACAGGCAGGCCATGGCAGGCAGGCGATCGTGAGGTGCCACTGGTACAGCACAACAGCGCAGATCAGAAGTGACACGAGGCCAAGGGGCGGGGTGTTCAAACAAAGGGGGAAAGGCGTGGCTCAGCGCCGGCCGACAAAATCCTCTCGTACTGAGCAGAGTAGAGGCGGGGAGGGTGGACGGAGGGACACGGGCAGTGATTGGGCAAATGAAATCAAGTGGAGCGGGAAAGGGAGGCGTAGGAAAAAGGAAGCGCAAAGGTTGGGTTTGCTTGCTTGGGATTTGGGCGATACATGTATGCATTTGGGGGCTGACGGGTTCAGAGGAAAGGTGGCTAGGACGCTTCAGGAGTGGATGGCGCTTCAGGAGTGGATAGTGCGAAAGCAGCTTTGCTGTTCAACAATACGGGTGCCAAAGTGGGCTCTCAAAGTAAAGCAGAAGGGGAGAAAAGGGGGCAGACACACAGGTGGGGGGCAGCGCGCTCACTGAGGGCGGGGCGCCAGCCCCTGCAGGCCGCGCTGTTGCAGGGTGCGCAGGACGGCGCGGGCGAGGCGGCGGAAGCGCTTGGCGGTGCCGTGCACGTTGCCCACGGCGTGCCGCACCGCGCCCGACCGCACCCAGCGCATGACGCCAAAGGTGAGGGGCCCAAACAGTGTGTACAGCGGGTCCAGCTGGCAGGTCACCACCACCTGGCACAGCGCGTCCAGCAGCAGGCTGCTCAGCGACAGCAGCGCCGCAAACAGCAGGCCCAGCGGGCAGCAGGTGAGGACGAGCAGGATGGACAGGCCCGCCAGAAGCATGTCCCACGTGTGCTGCGCCAGCTTCTTGGGGCACGCCTCTGGGTCCGCCACCGCCGCGGGCTGCTGCTCTGTGGCGGCGGCGGCGGCAGCGGCGGTTGTGGAGCCTGCGGATGATAGGAGCCACAGCGGGAGCCCAGCATCAAGCGTCAGCATAGAAGGTGTGTGGATGGCCGCATGCTTGCTGCAAAGGAATGTACAGCACATGGCATGCACATGGCTGACAGAAGCAGGAGCTTGCAGGCGCCGGACTCGAATCAGCCGCACCTCGCGGCAGCAGACCAAACTGTGCAGATGCGGCCAGTCCCGACAGCGGGCCAAGTAGAAGCAGCTTCTGCTTGTCCCCAGAGCACTTGGGCAGCCACACGGGGGCCTGCAGCAGCACGGGGCAGGCGCAGGAGTTGGGGCGGCACGTTCTCTAGAAGGGGCGGCGCGAGACTGGCGGCGGGCGGCGGCGGGTCGTGCGGGGTTGCGCGGCCCGCCGGCGGAGCCCGCAGGAGCATGTTTGCGAGCGTGTGGACATGCCACGGCGCGTAGAGACTCGGCAGCGAGGCAGAGTAGCCAGTGGATATCTCGCCGGGGCTGTGCGGTATGCTCACCTGCTTGGGCTGGCCACCTGGATTTCTGGAATGCAGGCCGCCAGAGGCCACGCAGCGCAGCGGCCGCTGCGCAGTGGCGAGCTGCATGACAATGGCTGCCTGGGAGGCTCGGGAGGCTCCTTGATACCAACACCAACAAGGTCTGGTCACGAGAGGCGGTGGGTAGGATTAACTGAGCAATGGGCGAACTACCATAATTGAAGATGGGGCCTGGGCGGTGTGGCAGAGAGCACAGCAGCTCATTCTGTCAACTCATGCGAACACAACAAAGCTCCATCATGCACGAGGAACAGAGCAGGAGGCTCTGCCGTGGGCTGCAGCAGCACTGGGGCGGGGCAGGAGCGGGGCGGTTGACGGGAGCAGCGCAAGGCGGCCCGCCTGGTGCTGAGCGGGTGATTCACCCCAGGCAGCATAGCCCGCTGCTCAAGAGGCTACAGCTGTGCCGCAGCAGCAGCCCCAGGATACTTGCATGTTCTCCGCCAGCCCCTGGGCCCCTTCTGGCGCCAGTCTCAAGTGCCGCCCTGGGCCCAGCCTGGTGCCACGCTCAAGTGCCAGAGGGTGTTGTGTTGTTGAGCAGAAGGGGGAGGCTCACAACATACGGGGAGAAGAGGACAAGGGAGCATCAGGTGTTGAATAATACCGAGCGGGAGTGGTTGACAACATGAGCGGGCATGGCGCAAATGGGCGGCCACGTCGGCAAGGGTGAACAGCGCAAAACAGGGGTTGTTCTCAATAATCAGGGAGCCTCTCAAAAACAATGTGGCAGCTCTCATGGATCCTGCCTACTGGCTGACCTATCCTGGCGTCTGCTGGTTTCTAACTGCTGGGTTCCTATCTGCAGGCTCGAAAACTGAACTTGGCTTGTTGGCTGGCGGGTGGAGGCAATGCACCTCGCCTCTGGGAACCTGGCTGCTGCTGCTATCCCTGGAACTGGACTCATGATGATGGTGGCTGCGGTACAGCAGCAAGGCAGGTGAAGACAGGTCAGCGCATGACGCCCCGCCACAGGTACCATGCGCAGCAGAGGCGGTGGCTGGCCTGCCGGCCGCCCGCAGGCCCCACGCCTCACATGCTCCTCAGAAGGCAGCCACGGCATCCGGCGGCGCAAAGCGGCTCATGCGGCCGCTGCCAGGGGTGCCCCGGTAGCCGCCACTGCGCTGCGTGCCGCCGCTGTAGGCCCCGGGGCCCAGCCGGCTGCCCGCGTAGCGCTGCGGCGGCGGCGTGCCATGCATGGGCACGGGCATCGGCATGCCCGCCATCTGCATGCCCGCCTCGGCGCCCGCCCCCATCGACATGCCGAACCCTGCGGCTGCTGCGGCGTCGTAGCTCGCCGCGGCCTGGTGCTGCGCCATGGCAGCTGCTGCCATGCCTTGCATCATGCCATACTCGTGTGGCGAGCCCATCATCGGCAGCCCCATGGCGCCAGCTGGCATGGCCATGGGCGCCGCCATGTAGGGCGCGTGCAGCGGGCTGTGCATGGGGGCCGCCGCGGGCGGCGGGCTGCCCAGCAGCATGCTGGCCACACCGATGGAGGCCAGGTTGCTAGCGGCCTGCAGCAGGGGGGGGTCAGCAGGCGGAGAGGCACGTTCTGAGGCGAGCAACGCGTTGCGGTGCGGCCGGGGTGCCTGCCTGCCTTCCCTGGGTCCCTGGGTCAGCAGCCAGCTCCACACGCTCTTCCCCAGCCTGCCCACCCAGCGCCCACCTGCTCGGCCGTGATGCCGTGCGCCTTGGTCTGCGCCTCCAGCAGCGCCTTCATGGCCCGCTCCTGGGCCCGGCGCAGCGTGCGCCGCTGCCGCGCATTCAGCCGCACCGAGCCGTCCTGGTTGAGCTTGGGCGCGGTCTTCTGGCGCTGGCGCGCCTGCTGGCGGCGGGAGTCGGGGGACAGCGGCGCAGAGGGGCCCGTGGGCGGGGCGGGCGGGAAGGCCGGCACCGCAGACACCAGTCCATAGGCATGAAGCAGCGAGGCCAGCTCCAGCAGCTGCGGTGGGGCAAGGGAGGGCGGGGCAGGGCGAGCAGCCAAGACCGTCAGCTAGTCAGCTGCCATACTCCCGCGAGCCATCAGCATAGCGAAGGGCGGCAGGCTGCCGCGCCATCCCACCCTAGCATGGCTGCCTAGCAGCCTGCCGCCTCTCGCCGGTCGGAGGAGCCCACCAGCCACCTTCCCCAACATCACAGGCGCGGACCCCTCACCTGCTGCGGCGGCTCCCCTGGTAGCTGTTGCGCGGCGCACATGGCAGAGGCAATCTGGTGCGCCGCATCTGAGACCTCCAGGCTGCCGCTGCCGGCGCTGCTCATGCCGTCTGAGGCCTCGCCCTCATCCCCAGACCCGCTGCTGTCCTTGCTCTCGGGCGGCGAAAGCGACCTGGTGCTACCGCCCATGCCGCCAAAGTACTGAAGACAGCAGGAGCGAAGAGAAGGAGGGCCACTCAGCTAGTCAGCCGGCATGCCAGGTCTGCCCGCGGCACATGAACAGCCGCAGCTGCTTAGCAGGCTGTCGCGACCTCCAGCAGCAGCAGCAGAGTGGCTCGCTAAGCACACAAACAGCCTGCCTCATGCCACCCACCTGCGCAAACATCATCTGGCCGGGGCTGGCCATCATTGGGCTCCCCGGCATCACAGCGAGGAAGGGCCCGCCGGCCGCGCCGCCGCCGCTGCCGCCGCCGCCCGAGCTGGAGCGGCGCACGCCGCGCACGGGGGTGCTGGGGTCGGAGCCTAGGGCCCCAGAGGCCGCCGCGATTTGCAGCGCGGTGGGGCTGTTGGGCATGGGCTGGCAGAAGCCGCTCCAGACCATAGAGGGCCCGCCATGGGCATACATGGCGCCGCTGCCGGGGGTGCCAGGCTGCGAGGCGCCTCCATGCATCATGCTGCTGTCAGAGCCGCCGCTGCTGCGGCCGGGGCTGCCGGCGTAGTTGGCGCCCTGCACCAGATGGACGCAGCATTTGGGGCAAAGCTGAGGCTTTACGAGGGGCAAATTGCCTCCGCAGCCTTTTGATGGCTTCCTCAGCATTGAGAAACAAATCCCAGAAATTTTAGCAACCAATTTCTGCCCCGCAGCTGTCATGGTCACTCACCATGGAGCCCCAGGCGTGCTGGTGGAAGAAGGGGTGTGGCACCCACATCGCCGCTATGTTGGTGGGGCTCGGCGTGCACACGCCTTGCGACGGTGTGAAGGGGACTGCAGCAAAAAGGGCCAAATGTGCATGGTTGCGGGGTCCCATCCCCTTGTCTGGCAACGAGCACGCCCTCATGAGGCACACCACACTGCGAGCGGCGGCAGACAGCGCCGCCATCTGCCATCAGCGGTGAACAGGGCGCCGAGCCCGCCACTCACTGGCGTCCAGGTTGGCCAGCACATCCCCTCGTCTGCTCTGTGTTCTAATGGGCTTCACATTGCTGTCCTTGCGGGCCACCTGCGGGCGGGGAGCGCGGTGGGCGGGGTTGTTACGCGCGTTGGTGGGGTGGGCGCGGAAGGCCCAAGGCGGGCTGGGGGAGCGGGCAGGCGGGACCCGGACGCCACAATCGACATAGAAAAGTGACGTAGCCCTGCCGCGGCGCGTTGCGCGCTCGCCTGCGAGGGGTGCCATTCCTGCGCGTCTGGTCTGAGGCTGCCCTCCCCTCCGGAGCTCGTCCTGGATGGAGATGCCATGTTCGGATGTTGGGCAGGCGGCGGGGAGGGCTGGGAGCACCCAGAAGAGGAGCCTGCCAACCCCCCAGCAGACATAGCATTGGCACAGCACAGCAGGCTATCATCCCCAAGTTTCGCACACCATCGTGGCCCACACATTGACCATCGAGCACTGCAGCAGCTCCAAGCCTCTGAGCCCTCAAGGAACCTACCCACATGCTCGCCTCTGCCGCAATGCTGCTGCCGGCCACCGCCGCCCGGCCCCTCTGCGCCCGACCACTCCGCAGCAGCACCGCGACGCTTGCAGCAGCCCGCAGCAGCAGCGCTGCGCCGCGGCGGCGGCGGGCGGTGGCAGCGGCGGCGGCGGGGCAGCGGCAGCGGCCGCAGACACCCGCTGCCGCGCTCCCGCTGGCCGCTGCCCTGGCCGCTGCCGGCATCGTACTGCCGGCGGGCGCCGAAGAGGCCGCGGAGCAGTCGCTGGCAGCGTTTGGCGGGTCAGACGCGCTAGCGGCGGCGCAGGCGGCTGCCGAGAGCGACCCAAGTGACCTAATCTTTTCTGCCCTCTTCACCATCGCAAGTGAGCTCCCAAACTTACTTGTGTGGCTGGCAGTGGGGTGGCGCAACGCAGCCTGGCAAGACAGCAGCACGCGGATTGCTCACAGCCACGCCATTTGGTCACGGCAACTGCCGGCGCATCCCGCATCTCCATCCTCGTGCCAACCCCTCCGCCTCCTCCCGTTCCCCGCCTGCTGCTGCGTTCCGCAGTCGGTGCGCTGACGGTGGTGACCCTTGGCATCGCCTACCTGTCATACACAAGCTGGAATGACAGCCGGCTGGAGGCTGAGGACCGGCGGCGCATGGAAAGCTTCCGCCCAGGCGCCAAGTGAGAAAAGCCTCAGCCCCTTGCCCTGGCTGCCTGCCGATGCATGCATGCTGCAGGGTGCTTGCACACAGATCTGTGGATTCTTTCAAAACTGCACCAGCCCAGCCCCTGCCCCGCCACCTGCTTGCTGTCCTGCTGGCGTTGGGCCCTTCTTGCGCCCAGGCCTTGAGTGGTGTCTCACTCGAAGGGCCACTTCCCACCCCTGCCGCTGCAGCGGCACCTCCCCCAACAAGAAGGCATCGGCGAAGGCGGCGGCCAAGCAGGAGAAGGAGCCAGAGGAGTTCAAGGGCTTTGGAAAGAAGTGAGGCCAGCGCTCCCGGCTGGTGCGGTCGCGCCGCGGCAGCGGCTTCAGCTTTCCGTGCACTGCGGCAGGCTTGCTTGGCATGCTGTCTTTGATCAGGGGTGCTACAGGCAAGGATGTCACCAGCTGAGGTGGAGGGTGAGCAGTCAGGTGGCAGCAGAGGGGGCTGGCACAGATGGGGAGGGCAAGCACGGCGACAAGTAGGGAGGCCATGCCTGGCCAATATAGCTGGGTGGTCGGGAAACATCCCAGGGCAACGCAGCGCAAATGAAATGAAATGGGTGTACAAAAGGAGTGGTGGTTGGAAAACGGAGGTACAGAAGGGTGCAGCTGTAGGGTACACAGACTGGCCGCCGCCAGGTCAGCCGCCGCCACGTCACCGGACGCCGCGGGGGGATGCGGTGGGCGTGGCGCCGCTGCCGCCGCCCCAGAAGTGCAGGCCGCCGGCCTTGTCGCATGACACCAAGGGCAGGCCCAGGGGGCACCAAACGCAGGCCACGGCCGAGTGGTGGTGCTTGGGTTCGCGCAGGCGGGTGGCCCCCGCCGCCTTGGCCACATCCCACACAAACACGGTGCCGTCGGCAGAGCCCACAGCCGCCTGGCCCTCGGTGGGGCTGCGCGGCAGGAGCGGCAGTGGGCAGCAGGGTGGTGGAACAAGAAGGGCAACATTAGGGCGCCGCAGGTGGAAAGCAAGCGGCGGTGAGGGACCAAGACAGCACAAGGTGCAGCAGCAGCAGCAGCGGGGTGGCAGCGCCAGACCTGAGGCATGCCGCAGTCCAAGCGCCGCCCACGGTGAAACTAGGCGCCGACAGGGTGTGGCGCACCTGCATGGAGGGCCGCGGCGGAGACCGGCTGGTCCAGGCAGTGCTGTGGATTGTATCACACTGCAGGCTGATGGCAGGCAGGCAGGCAGGCAGGCAGGCAGGCAGGCAGGGGCTCCCACGATGCACACTGCCATCTGGCTGGCAGCCCCGTGGGCTCCGCAGCCAGGTCGCCAGCTCAGCGGGCCCACCTCAAACCGCCGCACATCCACGCAGCGCAGGAGGTTGTCCTTGCCGCAGGTCAGCACCAGGCCGCCGCTGCAGGTTCACGGGCGGCGGGTGGCAGCTTAAAAAGCAACTAATAAAACCATAGGACAAGGGGCCAGCAGCGGACTGCTGGCTGCAGTGTCACTCCGCAGCTGGGGCCCCTGCCGAGCTGAACTCAGCGCGGCCCACCCACCTGGCCCCGGCATCCACCGAGGTGATCTGCTGGCTGTGGAGCCCCGCCACCTCGTGCGCCTGCTTGCCGGAGCGCATGTCCCAGAAGCGCAGCGTGCCGTCAAAGTGGCCCGAGGCGACGAGGGAGCCGTCGGCGGTGATTGCCAGCGAGTTGCAGCTGCTGTGGCACATGAGGGTGCGCAGGCAGAAGCCCTTCTCCAGGCCCCACACCTGCAGGGCGGGGAGGGGGAGGGGGCGGGCACAGAGGCACAAGCCACGCGACCGCGTTCGGAGGCGGCCCGGCTGCGGCACATGCGCACGCTGCCACCCTGTGCGAGGGGCACCCCGATGCGACGCCGAGCGCCACGGGGGGCAGCTGACGCGGAGCACTGCTGCAGGGAGCCGGCGCTGGGGTGAGGGGACGGGCCGGGTGGCCGACCACAGCAGGCCCAGCACCAGCTGCCGGCACACCAGCGGTCCACCATCGGCTGCCGCCGTTGGCGCTCAGCAGTGGGCACATGGGCAAGCACCGCCCCGCGCCCGTCACTGCCGTGGCGAGCGATGCAGCGGGCTGCCCCCTTCCCCCTCATTTCCTTGCCCTCCCTGCCCCTTGCCTTGATCGTGCGGTCGGCGGCACAGGTGGCCACCACGTGGGCGTCTGCGGGGCTGCAGGACAGCCCTGTCACCTTGCCGTTGTGCCCCGTCAGCGACATGCGCAGGCGCCCGGTGGTCACGTCCCACACCCGCACCGCCTGCACCGCAGCCCGGGGCGGCAGCGGAACTGGTGATGCCGAGGCGCAGCGGGGGGCCGCCGGAGGCGAGCCTACGCGCGCACAGCCAGCAGCGAGCACGCTGCACGCATGCGCTGCGCTGCACGTGTGCAGTGGCTTGTTCGGCCGCCGGCTGCCTGCCGCCGCCTGCTGCCGCACCTTGTTGTTCTCTGCTGCCAGCACCAGCTTTGAGTCTGAGGTGAAGGCCACAGCATTCACCCCCTCAAACACGCCCTGGATGCATGAGGGGTGGGGATGTGCGGCGGGATGGAGCTTGGCACACCAAGGACAGGGTGCACACAACAATGCTGCAGCAAGCACACGTGCTGCAGCATAGAAGGAGGCGCCTGGGCCCCGTTGTTGCCCTGAGCGCTGGTGCAGGCGGCCCTCGCGGGCAACGTACGCGCAGCGTGGCGGTGTTGGTGGCGCTGCACGGCTCCCACAGCTTCACAGTCTTGTCGGCGCCGCCGCTGGCCAGCAGCACGCCGGTGCGGCTGAACGCCAGGCCGTAGCAGCCGCCGTCGTGGGCCGGCACGCTGCAGGGCGGGTTGCGGGCAAGCATCAAGGGCACAGGCGAGCTGTCGGCACCCGTACTCGGGTCCTAGCCCATCCCAGCAGCTGGGGCACAGCAGGGGCGCACGCCCAGCCCGAGCATGGTCCCAACCTGCCACGCCACACCACACCGCAGCAGCGCCAGCGCCAGCGCCAGCACCAAGCGACCCCCAGCCCACCTCTTCAGCAGGCTGGCAGGCTGCTCCGCGTCGGCGCCGTCGCTCAGGCCCAGGCTGTGCAGCGAGGCATCCACAAACTCCACCGCCTCGGAGGGCCGTCGCGACGCCACCTGCATCGCCTTGGCACGTGCCTCGGACAGGATGGAGGCCGCCTCCTGCCGCGCTTTGGCCAGCTGCAGTGTTGCCACGGGTTGTGTGCAGGGTCGGACGTGGTTCATCGTGCTGGGGACGTGCGGCACAGTGGAGCAGACCATGCCCCACGCCGCCGCTGTGCACCAAGCCCGCCCAGCTGCAGTGGCCCGCAGGCTGGAGCTGTGGCCATGCCAAGCCAGCCAGCCAGGCAGCCAGGCAGCGCACCGGCGGCGAGCCCCGCCACGCACCGTGTCGGCCTCCTGCCGGTTCATCTCGTTCATGCGATCCGCCTCGCGATCCTTCATCTCCAGAATGCGCCGCACCAGCTCCGCACTCTCCGACTCAAGCGTCGCCACCCGCGAGGTGGCAGACTGCGCCTCGTGCAGCCGTGCCTGCACGCCAGGGCAGGCAGGCCCGGCAGGGAGGCATCGGTGTCAGCTGCCGGGCTCTGGCGGACTGCCTGCGCGCAACGGCTTGCAGGTGCGCCTGCTGGGCATTCAGGCAGCCGTGCCGGGACCTGCGATAGGTGTGGCCTTGGTACGAGCAGCCAAGCACATGCTGCCATGGCTGCCACTTGCCTCCATCTCCCGGCTGACTGTGGCATGGGCTTCGCGGTAGTGCTCCACCTGCCCCCTCAGCTCCCGAACCTGCAGCGGAGCAGCGGGACGGGATGTCTGCGTAGCCGGCGATGGGGTCGTGGCACATCGCAAGGCGCAGTAGTGCAGTGCAGGGGACTGGGAGCAGCATCGCCACGCAAGGTGCAAGGCACCACACAGGTCCTGGGTTGGTGCGCCGGCCGATGCCAAGCTCAATGCCAAGCAGGCAGGCAGCGGGCCTGCTCTCCGAAGGTCATTTCCCGCCCAGTGCTGCACCTGATCCCGCAGCTTTCTGGCCTCCTCCGCCGCATCAGTCAGCTCCCTGGCCTGCCGCTCATTGATGTCGCGCACCACCTGCAGCTGGCGGGTGGCCTGCAGCGACTGCTCCGCCAGGCCCGCCTTCTCCTTGTATGCCGCCGTCAGCTCCTCCTGCAGCTGTGTTGCTCGTGCCTCCAGCGCCGCACACTGCAGAGGGATGAGGAGGACAACAGCTTGGTGCGGGCAGGGAGGAGGGGGCCCAGAGTGGGCAGGAGCTTGTAGAACGACAGAGACGGCAGGCGGGCGGGCGGGCGGCGGCACGCCTGCGTGCTCAACACCGCGCTGCGCTTCTGCTCCTCCAGGCTCCGCAGCAGCGTCTCGTTCTCCAGCCGCAGCTCAGAGGCCTCCTTGTCCAGTTGCGCGGCGCGGACCTGCACAACATGGCGCTCGGAGGGCTCTGGGCTCGGCACCAGCACTCTCAGAGTGCACATCATCCTCCAATAAGCGCTCTGGGCCCAGTGCCGCACCTGGAAATCCCTGGAGCGCTGCAGGCAGGTCTGGTAGTCGGCCACCACCTCGCTGAAGGCGTCCCTGTGCAGCGCATTCCTCTGTTTAAGCTGATTGAGTGTGCTCTGGACAACCGCAAGCGGCACCGCCACCTCCATGGCGCTGCACGGCTCTCGAGCGGCCTCAGCGCTCCCAATAAAGAGGGGCTGGCATGTCTGAAGCAGCGTTGGTACACGTGATTTCACAGGAGGAGCGCAGCGATGAGCAGGGGTTTGTCAGGTACACGACAGCGTGGCAGCGTGGCGGGTACCGCCGCTGAACATGGCTGCCGGCCTGCTTCGACTCATTTCAATGAAAGGATCAGAAGTGCGATGAAAACTGTTGCAGCTGGGCCGCAGGCCAAGTACAGCGCCCCACCCGGGACGCTGGTCAAAGCAGCTTGTCCAGCTGGCTCGCCGCCGTTTCCTCCGCGCCGGCCTCGCCGTCCAGCAGCTCAATTGCCTCCACCACTCGCTGCGCCTTCTGCATCTCCGTCTCCGGCACCGTGGCCAGAAGCCTGCAGAGGAAGGTCCGGAGGCGCAGTTCGGGGCGCAGAGTCAGTAGGCAACGGTGAGCGGGCAGCCGGCAGGAGAGGAGCAGGCACCACCCACGCAAGGCCTCTGCGCTCACTTGTCCAGCGCCACCACCGTGCCATCCAGCCGCTTCCGCGCCTCCTCCAGCCCCTCGCCCTCGCGCTGCTGCGCCTGCAGAGCAAGCCAGGCAGCCTTGGTGGCTCAGGCGCACCGTCGCGGGTGGAGCACCACACAACAGCCCGTGCAGCTGATGCGACACCCAATCCACCGACCTCCACCCCTCACAATCCCATTCACTGGCAGGCGGCACCACCACGCACCTGTCTGAGCGCCGAGTCAAAGCCCTCCAACTCATCGAAGAACCCGCGCACAAGCTCCCGCCCCGACTCATCATTGCTGCGCTGCGAAGCATACTCGCCCACAGACCTGCGACAGGTATTGGTCCATCGGAGAGGGATCGAAGCCAGCAGGCACAGTTGCTCCCTCAAGTGGTTTAACTTTGTTCAGGCATGGAGGCAGTACACCGCCGAATTCAGCGAGCACAAGACTATGCGCCCAGGGCCGCCGGCGACCGCACCTGACGTTGTCCCGCAGCCCCGCAAACACGCCGCTGCGCAGCAGCTGCCGCGCAGCCGCCGGGTCTTGCACTGCAACAGCAGCATGCAGAGAAGGCAGCGAGCAGAGCTGACCAGGCGGGGCAGCTTTCCATTGCTCCCGCCAGACGTCGCCGGCGCTGCAACGCTGCCACATGCCACAGCCTGCTGCCAGCTCCAGCTGCGTGCGCCCTGCCAGCCAGCAAAAAGAAACACTGGCAACTCACGCATGACGCGCCCCACGCGGACCAGCTGTCCCTTGGCCTCCAGCAGCGGCGCGATGTACGTGTCGATGCGCTCCAGCTTCTTCTTCTTCACATACTTGCTCAGCCCCGCCTTGACGGCGTCATTGTCCTGCAAGCATGGAGAGGATGGTGGGAGGGGGCCGGCAGCAGCGGCGCTGGTAGGAGCGGGTGTGGCTGTGGTGGAGGCAGACAGCTGAGCTCCCTTCAGCTGCAGAGCAAGTGTGCTTCGCGGCTGCGCTCACCGCGTGGGCTGCGCCCGACAGCAGCCAAGGAGCGACGGCTGCCGCCAGCGCCGAGGCGAGCGCTGCTCGCCGCCGCACCGCCGCTGAGCTGGGTGGCGCCTGCTGCACTGCGGGCGCATCGCTGCCGGTAAGTGGTGCTGGCTGGCTGGCTGCTGCTGCGGTTGGCTTCCGTGCCTGCAAGTGGGTCGTGGGCCGGGCCCTCGCAGCAGTGGATCAGCAGCTATGCATCTTTTGTGCCACACACACACACCTCGCCCTGCTCCTCCTGCCCTGTTGGTAGCGGCGGGGTGCCGACCACTTGCCGCCGCCGGCGCTGCTCCAATCTTGCTGCTGCACTTGCATCGCCTTGCCCACCTGATGCCGTGCACGTGGTAGTTGCCGGTGCGGTCCAGCGAGCGCGAGGCCGCCAACGCTGGCTAGAGACAGGCACAGCATCTCTACTTTGCTGAGGGACCGCGATGGAAGGGCGGTCACGTCGACCTTGATGATATGGGCCTCAGGGCGATGCAATGTGCGTGGTGAGAGGCTCTTTTGGTTAATGCGATGGAGATGAGGTGGCGCGCCCTCCGACCTGGCATCGCTCCAAAACTCCGAAGGCGCCGCGCTGCGCATGTAACATGCACTCTTCAGATTGCACCCTGGGGTCTCGGCTGCCTCGATCGCTCGCTATGCAGGTGGACCACCAAGAGCACCGCGCCTCCTTGAGCGGGCTGCAGTTCCAGCTGCATCCGGTGAGCATGGGATGGCGTGGACCTGGCCCGCACCCCCCGCAGGCTGCTGCGGGCATCGCCTGATCACCCTCCGCCACCGGATATCCCCTGCAGCTGGTGCTCATCAACATCTCAGACCACCACACGCGCACCCGGGCCAATGCGGGCTGCGGGGCGGGCGAGGAGTTCAGGGTGATGGGGTGCCTGCTGGGCAGCCAGTCGGGGCGCACCGTCGACATCTCCAACTCCTTTGAGATGCGCTACCTGGAGAGCAGCGCCGTCGACATAGACCACGCCTTCCTGCTGAAGAAGATGGAGCAATGTGGGTGCTGGAGCTGGGCTGCTGGCCGAGGGGCCCCCTGTGCGGAGGCCCTCTTTCCGCCACGCCGTCGCAAGTTGGCGGCAGCAGGCCATGCCCGGCCCCTGCTGACCCCCTGCTTGTGTGCCTGCACTCCTGTTGACTGCAGACAAGCAGACCTTCCCGCAGCAGGATGTGGTGGGGTGGTACGCCACAGGCGCAGACACAACTGATGCCGACATGTACATCCAGCGAAAGGTGCGGCACAGGGGAGGGTTGAGGCAGGGGAGGTGGTGGGACAGTGCACAAATGGCGGGGAAAGCGGGAGGGCTGGGAAGCCGCTGGTTCAGAAGATCGGACCCAGGGGCATAGCACAGGCATGCGTTGCTCCGGCTTGCCTGGCCAGCATGCAAGAGGCGTGTGGGCCGGGCGTGCCACGCAAGGCCGACCCCCTGCATGCCACCTGGCAGAGGCCCCCTCAGCAGCAGCTGCCTCTGGCAATGCCCACCCTGGCCTTCCCTGCCCTACTGGCCCCCTGCACCCTCCCTCTCTGCACTGCCCTGCTCCCCTCCCTGCTCCGCTCCTCTTCCTGCTCCCATGCCCACCGTTCCTGCCTGCCCTCCACCCGCACCACCACCCCCATCCCGCCCTGCCTCCACCGCAGCTCATGGAGATTAATGAGTCGCCCATCTTCCTGAGGCTGGACCCGCGCTGCGATCCCGGCCAGAAGGACCTGCCTGTGTACCTCTATGAGAGCGGTACGGCGGAGGGGCGGGGGCCCTGAGAGGTTGGGAGGGAGCCGTTGAAGGGATGGGTTGTGGCGACTGGACCTCCGCTGCTGAGATGGGAGCTTGTTTCTGCCGTGCCCGGTCGCATGTGTGCCATGTTATGCACGCCTGCACTCCCGCCGACCACACACATGTGCACACCTGCCCCCCGCACCTGCCCCCCCACCCTCCCTGCAGAGCTGCATGTGCTGGATGGCGTGCCCTCCTTCATTTTCGTGCAGGCCAAGTACACAATAGAGGTGGGCGGCTCTGGTGGGGTGGTGTCGGGCTGGAGCCAGGGGTGGAATGAGGGTGGCCAGGGCTGCCCTGCAGGCAACTCGGCACCGGCAGGCGCCTCGGCTGCTTGCTCCTTCGTGCCTTAGGCCCCGCCTGCGCCGCTGCCCAGCTCGCCCCTGTGCTCCTCTCACTCCCGCCCCGCCCTCACCCGCCCTCCCGCCCGCTGCCGATACACCTCTGCCTGGGCCTGCCACCCCGGCAGACGTCTGAGGCTGAGCGGATCGGCGTTGACCAGGTGGCTAAGATCCTGCCCACAGGCGGCACCGCCACGGGAGCCACCCAGCGTGAGCCGCCGCCACGCCCTCCCTCCCCCTGCTGCTGCCACCGCTGTGGCGTGGCACGTGCCTGCCTGCCTGCCTGCCTGCCTGTGGGGTGGCCTGCTCCTGGCCTCGCACGCCATGCCCGCTCCGCCGCCCCGGACCACACGCGCGCACTCCCACCACCACCACACGCACACACTCCACCCCGCAGTGTCTGCCCACATGACCAGCATGCACAGCGCCATCAAAATGCTGATCAGCCGCGTGGAGCTGCTGCACCAGCTACTGCTCAAGATGCAGTCAGGTGGGCGGGCGGGGCATGCAGGGCCGCTGCCGCCGGCGCGTGTGCCTGAGTGTGCGTGTGTGTGCGTGCGCAGTGCATCGGGGAGCGTGGGGGCGTGTGACGTGGCTTGAGCTCGCCTCCCGGCTGCAGGCAGCGTGCCCCGCGCATGCCGCCAGCCCGCGCTGCCGTGCTGCCTGCCACCGGATCTTGCGGGCACCCTCTGTGCCGCCCGGCCCGCTCCTGCCGCACGCTCCCACTCATGCCCCACGCTGCCCCGCTCCCTGCCCTCGGCCTCCTGCCACCTCCCGCAGGCGAGGTACCTTTTGACCACCAGCTGGTGCGCCAGGCGGCAGGCCTCATCAAGCGCCTGCCCGCCGTCGACTCTCAGCAGTTTGGCCAGGACTACACGACGGTGAGGGGGTGGGGTGGGGGGTTGTGGGGGTGTCACGGCGCAACGCTGTGCTGCTGGCAGCCCAATGGACCCACAACCTGCACCGCCACAACCTGCACCGCAGCGAGCGTGCCTCCCCTGTACGGCCCCTGATCTCCTCTTGCACCGCCGCCGTGCCACAGGAGCACAACGACACGCTGCTGGCCATCCTGCTGGCCGCCGTCACCAAGGGAACCGCCTCATGCAATGAGATTGTGGATAAGGTGGGCTGATGGCGCTTTGGGGGCCGCGCTGCTGGCGTGCTGCCCCGTGGCCGGTACCCGGCCTGCGACGCTGGCCTGGGGGCTGGCCTGGCGTGTTCCGTCGACGCATGCAGTCAACCTGTCCCCTATCCCCCGCCCCTGCTCGTGCAGTGCAACCTGGCCTTTGACCGCGTCAGCCTCAAGGGCAGCGGGCGCAAGGGCGGCGGCATGGGCAGCACCATAGGGCTGCCCATGGGCATGCTGGGCGGGCTGGGCAGCGACTTCTTGTGACCCAGCGCAGCATTGTTTGGCGGCGCAGCCGCCATGTAACTTCAGCACTGTGTGCGTTTCTCACAGCCGGGTTGGAGAGCCAGTAGTATTGCGGCGAATAGTGGTGGAGTGGGGCAAGTGATGTAGTGAGGAGGCCAAAATCGGGCTGATCAGTAAGGGAGGAATACAGACTAATCAGTTGGAGGAGGAACAAATCATGTATGCAGGGAATTACAGTGTGCTAGTATCAGCAGCAACAGTGCAGTAACAGTGGGGTGGGATTTGCAATGGGACAGATCGATAGAGTATCAGCTGGAGAGCTAAAGGTGAGTTTTGGAATGAGGAAAACAGATCGGTTTGATTGGTAGAGAATGATTGGTAGGGAATCAGAACGGGCGGCACATTGGTGCTGCTTGAACAAGTGCTGAAGGGGAAACATATGCCATGTTGCCGGCAGTGATGTCAACGTGGCAAAGTGGCCTACAGGGCGCGGCGGTAGGTTGCCCCCAGCAGGCCGCCGGTGGGCAGTGGCAGCGCCTGCCGTGTGGTCAGGTAAACGTCCAGCCACTGGCCGTAGTTATGGTGGCGCAGCTGCAGAAAGGCACGGCGAGCAGGGCGGGGCGGGTCAGCAGGGAAGCCTGGCGAGCGTCATTGCTGCTGGGCAGGAAGCCTTGTAGAGATCCTTTGGCTGCACCTGCTAGCAGCGGCGGCGGCAGCGGCGGCAGCGACAGCAGCAGCAAGCAAGGCTGCCAGCGGGGCGCTCTGCCTCACCTGGGCGGCTGTGGTGGGCGCCCGCTGCTCCACCCTGATGCTCAGGTGCGGGGTGGTGATGATGACGCGGCGGGGGCTGGCATAGGTCTGCGGCACAGGAGGGGGGGTGGGCAGGGAAACAGCGCACTGAGATCATGTCGCTTGCGCACTCAGCTCGGTTGCTCGGCGGGCAGGCAGAGAGCAGCAGAGGCCTGCTGCTGCTGCTCTCACCTCCACTGTCACCCCATTCCCCAGCGCGATGCGCGCGTGCCCAGCCAGGGGCCGGCCACCGGCCAGCACTGCAGGGACAGAAGGTTGGGGGAGGGGCACGGTCGGCAGAGGGAGGAGGGAAGCTGGCCTGGCAGCGCTGCCCAGCATTGCAGCAGAGATGGGGCAGTATCAGCATGCACCGCCACCCGGGGCAAGGCAGCTGGCTGGCAACAGCTGGCTGGCAGGAACACCCCACCCTACGCCCCAGCCAGCCACCCAGCCAGCCAGCCAGCCTCTCACCGCTGAGGCTCCATCTCTTGTCGGCGCCCTGCACCAGCGTCACGCCCACGCGCGCGCCGCCGCGGGCAAACTGCACGCCGCGGATGAAGGCCTGGGTGCCGGAGAAGCCGCCGGCGCCATAGGTGGCGCTCAGGCGGCGCCGCCGCCGTCTGTGTACAGGCTGTGGGGCCGCCCAAGCGCTCCCACGTACTGGGTCCAAGCGCCGCCTGCAGAGCAGCAGAACAGGTGGTAGCCAGCAGCAGAAGCGAGTGAGGCAGGGGGCGTCCCATTCCCCCACCATGCCCGGTGGCGGCAGCATGCCTGGGCATGTCAGGCAGGCCGTGCAGCGCTTGTGTGGTAATGCACAGCAGCGGGGCTAACCTGCATGGCCAAAGCTGGCATAGCTTGCGCCGCCCATGATGGCGGCGGTGCGTGGCTGGTGAGCCTTGGGTGACGGCGGCGGCGGGCGGGGCCGGGGAGGGCGCGGAGACGGCGGCTTTGGCGACGGCGGCGGCGGGCGGGGCCGGGGAGGGCGCGGAGACGGCGGCTTTGGCGACGGCCGCGGCGGGCGGGGCCGGGGAGGGCGTGGCGA